CGCCCGGGTGACGTGGCGCCCATTCATCGCTTCCTCGTCCGCCCGCCACGTTGGCGTCCGCCCGCTGCTCAACCACCCCCGAGCGTCTGCAGCGGAGACCGTGGGATCCCTGACGCCGCTGTCACCGAGGTGAGACTCGCCCCGGGCGCACGGAGCAGGGCAGTCGTGCAGGGTGCTTAGGAACCTGCAGAGCGCGATGCTTCCCGATTACCCGTGCTGAGTCCTTTCATCTCGGCCCTCCAGGCGCCTTCCTGGAGGCTTTTTGATTTACCCAGTACCTACGGGTGGCCTTAATCCTCTTTTGTTTTACTCTGCGGTTACCGCCAGTCCCTGGCGGTTCTGTCTGCGTTTGTTTTCTGCGCAGCGGCTGAAAACGTAGCGGTGAAGCATGCTTGATCATACCTGGAGTTTTTTTATTTCTAAAAATTCTCGAGCCTTCTCTCGATCCCTTGGTGTGAACAATTAATTAAGGCTCTCCCTACATCCCTCAACCATCCTTTGTCAGACTGTTGGGCAGTTATTTGGATGAACAGTATTGCTTCTTAAAATACCTTCCGATATTAAATTTTACCGAGAAGATGAATATCGTATCCATCCTCAGAGGGAATAGTATGAGACAGATTGGGTGGGGGAGGGGTGCGCGATCTGGTCTTGTAGCTCCAGACTAGTTTGGAACTGTTGACCCTCGTGCCTCATCCTGGGGAATGCTGGGTTTACAGGTGTGTGCCATCAAGTCTAGCAGAGACAGATTTCCTTCTTTCAAGGATGAAAACTATAGTTCATTTATGTTCTCTGTTATGAAGGCGATTTCCTAATGCTGATGATTGGCTCATTTGTATATGGCCTTGTTACGTATATATTAGGCATTTTGAAAGCACCCTGCTGACTGGATTTGAGCATTTGGTTCTTTTAACTGTATACACGATATGCTTGTTTAGGGCATATGGAACTAAAACTGTTGTCTAATGACTTTTTTTTTTTAAACAAGGTCTACTATGTATTACAAGCTGGTCTAGCACTCGCTGTGTAGCTTAAGCTGGCCTTGATCTTGCTGTCCTCCTGCCCCAGGTTTTCCAGGGCTGGGGTTAAAGGCATGCATCACCACATCTGGCTTCAAATTGATATTTTGGGATAGATTTGTTTAAAAACTAGATTTGAGAGTCGTGTCAAAGTTCATTAAGACTTAATTAAAATTTACCCCAGATTTAGCCTGTTTTGAGAGGGTAGTCTTACAGGGATCTAGATTTGTTGTGTTCCTATGTCAAGACTTGAAGACAGGCTGCATGGAGGGTTAATCACAATTGTCTAATTCCTTTCATTTTAAAGATAATAACATTGAAACTAAGTTCCTCCAACAGAACCAAAGACAAAATGTATGTCATATGTAAATAAAAATGTATCATTTGTAAGGTTCTTGAAGAAGTGTTTTGTTTTCTTTTTGCATCGAGACAGTGTAATTTAGGGAGAAGATGTGTCTCATGTTTGAAAGCTTTTAAATGACTTTCTAACTTTTGAGGAGTTGTAGTACTAGCAGAAAAAAAATGGTATCACCAATATAAACACAAAGTTCTCAGTTTTCATATGTTATGCCACCTTTGAAACTAATTTATTATTCAGTGTTTAAGTGTTCAGTTCTTTGGTGTTAGTCAGTAAGTAAACACGGGCTTTCAAACAGACAGTTGAAACGTTTATATTTAATAAAAGAAAAAATGTCTCAGGCTCATCCAAATTATGTTAGAACACTATCAACAGATAAGTGAGAATTATTTCATTGTAGACCTTCTGATTGGATCAAAAGGGCACTCCATAGATAGTGCTAAAATGTATACAAATTTCTCACAGGAGACCTGGAGCTGTGGCATACCGTTTCTTATGACTTCACTCTCACAATAGAGAAGCCCTTTCTAAAAACATAACAGAAAATGAACAAGTTCAAGGTGAGTAACTTAATTTGTTTAATTCTGTGTATTCACATACATGTTCAGTGAGGGTTTTGGAAAGAGAATCTATGGGGTTGGAGAATTGACTCAGTGGTTAAGAGCAGTTGTTGCTCTTATAGAGGACCCAGGTTTGATTCCCAGCACCTACTCAGTGTCTCAAAACCATCTGTAACTCCAGTTCCAGAGGATTCGATGCCCTCTTCTGACCTCCACAGGTACCAGCTATTTACATGGTGCACACACACACACACACACACACACACACACACACACACACACACTCAGGCAAAACACTCATACACATAAAATAAAATAAATCTAAAAAGATAAAAAAAATCTCTATATTGAACTAGGAAAGTATGACTGGCTTAAAATCACCTTCATGATTAAATAAAACAGTAGCTCTCAAAGTACGGTCTGCAGCGCCCCAAGTGCCCTCCAACCCTTTCGAGGGATCCAGTAATGTCAAAGGTCATACTATTAATGAGCAAATTGCATTTGTATCTCCGGTAATATTGTGATGAAAAGGGGATTCTTCTCTAAACCCATGAAGCTATGATGGTGAAGCCCAAGTTGTAATGGTGACCATGGATATTGGAGATGCTAGAGCTGTAGGATGTCTGCTGAGAAGAACTATAAGTGTATATTGGAGCCAACTCAAGAGAGGATTTATGTGTGCTTCAGGCAGCAGAGCTGAAAGCTACCCAAGTCTTTGGGAGCCCATTCGAGTCCTTCATGCATCCTAGATCCTGGACATGGAGCTGAAGGATTCAGTGTTTTTCTGGCTAGGTTTCTTTCTTGCTTCCATCTGCTTTCCTTGCTATACTTTCCTCCCTACACTTTGGAATAGGAATGTTTACCCTGTACCATTGTGTGTTGGAAGTATGTACTCATTTTAGGTGTTGTAAGGACTCACAGGTAGGATTAGCTTGTGTCTCAGGTGAAATTTGAACTTCTGAATATTGCTGGGACTGTTAAAGACTATGGGGACTTTTGAATTTGGACTGGATGCATTTTTCGTTCTAAGATCACAAGGTTATGAGTTTTATATCATTTAAAATGATATGTTTGAATGTCAAGTTCACAAGGGATGATGCTGTAATGTTTAATATTCCAACTTGGTGGGACTTATAACTACCATGGAAATGTGCTTCCACTCGTGTCTGAAGGACTTTAAGATCAGGCTAATTACAGAGGGAAGACTGACTGTAATTGTGGGTGACACTACCCCATGGGCTTCAGCCTTGGGCAAAATGAAAACAAGAAAGTGAACATGAGATTCCATTATTCTCTGCTTCTGGAATGTAGACAGTGTGAGCAGCTGCTCAGGCTGCTGCTGCTGTGACCTTGCACCCTCAAACCTTGAGCCATAGAGTAACATGAAAAATAAAAACCCAGAGAAAGATATAGGGGTTCAAGATGATGGTCAGATAAGCAAAGCAGCCAGCCACTAGCTCTTATCTCTACCTCAGACTGAAAGGGTGATCCTGGCTTCATGGATCCTCAGAGTGAAATTCTGTTTCCATGAATCCTCAGGGACAATAGCTCTTCCTGTCTGGAAACTAAATCTACACATGAGACCCTTTGCTTCTTTCTTTTATACCTCCCTAGTGCTGGGATTAAAGGCGTGGGATCCTAAGTGCTGAGATCAAAGTTGTGAGCCCTGTTACTTACTCTTCACTCTTGTGTAGGCCAGGGTGGCCTTGAACTCAGAGAGATCTGTCTTCCTGTCTCTTGAGTCCTGGGATTAAAGGTGCATACCACCATTACCTGGCTCTATGGCTAGCTAGTATGACTGCTGGGATTAAAGGTGTATGTCACCACTGTCTGACCTCTATGGCTTGTGGCTAGATTTGCATTCTGAACCCTCAGGCAAGCTTTAATAAATCATAAGTAATATTATCACCACACCACAGTAAACTCTTCCTTCATTGAGTTTCTTTTTTCAGATATTTTTATCACGGCAAAGTAACTAATGCAGTTCTGATGAATACTCGTGAGAATTGTTATCAAAGTCAAGAAAGGGACTGTGGCAGAGATCCAGTGCTTCTGTAGACGTGTAAGGTTCCGTGTCCCCCTTCAACGTTTCAAAACTAAGTAAAAATTAAACAACTGAAAATCAAGGAAAGACTGTCATAGATGTGACAAACTTAAAACTTGAAACTAGATAGCATGAATTTTTTGTTTCTCAAAATTGTTTTAGCCATCATAATCCCACTCCTTTTTGATGTATTTGGGGTGGAGGCATTAAGGTAAAATGGAATTTAGTTAATATTAAAAACATCATGCCAAGGGAAACAAACTGAGTAATACATATATAAGGACCATCTTGGGTCTGTTTGTGATGTAATGACAAAAGAGCTGAAAGAGGTTAACTTATACAGAACAGAAACTGACTTCCTCACTGTTCTGCTAGCTAAGATTTCAGAATCAGGGTGCAGCAGATCTGCGGGAGATTTTTGCATCTTTTCCTGGAAGCTGTGTGCTCCCATGGGGTAGAGCAAGAGAGAGTGAGCTCACCCCTCACTGTTTAGCAAGATCTTCAGTCACACCCATGAGGGCTGTGCCCTCGTAGCTCATGAGTTCCTAATGGCCTTACTTTAGTATGCTATCACATTAGGAATTAAATTTTAACATGCTAATTACATACATGTACAAAACATAGCAAAAATTCTATAGATTATCGCTGTCACTTTTTATGTAAATCTGTAACTTCAGTAATTAAAGCAGGTATAAAAAAAAAAAACGAAAGGGCATCCACTTCTTTGATGGGGTCCACATCATCTCAACAAGTATCTCTCTCCTAGCTGAAACAAATTTCTGTCCAAATTTAGTTAAATAAATTTATGTTTAAGTTACTGAACTACATTCAAGAAATGAAAAAAGTATAGGTGTAGATTTTTAAAAGATTTATTTATTTATTGTATATGAGTGTTTTATCTAAACATATGTCTGCTCTCCAGAAGAGGGTATCAGATACCATGGGACTAAAGTTATGGATTGTTTCGAGCTGCCATGTTGGTGCTGGGAATTGAACCCAGAACCTCTGGAAGAGCAGCCAGTGCCCTTAACTGCTGAGCTATCTCTTCAGCCCCTAGATTTACATTTTTTTTTTTTTTTTTGCTTAGCTCCATCTTGAGTTAATTTTTGTATGAAGTTTTACATTATGGGTTGAGGTTATTTCTTACAACACTAATTGCCTGCCCTGCCTCCCCCCCCCCCCCCCCCCCCCCCCCCGCCACACACACCCTTCCCTATCCTGTGATAGTCTTTCTTTTATTATCATGTCTTCTTTACCCCACTTAAAGTAAGACGGAAACTTTGAAACGGCTAGAGGAAAACAAGAAAGAAACACTGACAAATACAACCACAGGTAATGACTTCCTGGTTAGGACTCCAGTAGCTTGGGAAAGAATTGCAAAGATGGAGAAATGCTCTCCCTGAACTAAAACATTTCTGCACAGCAAAAGAAACAGTTGCCAGAGTGAAGCGACAGCTTGCATGATGGGAGAAAAATCTCTTCAACTATTCATCCAACAGGGATTAGTATCCAGAATATATAAAGACCCCAAAATTCAAGCATAAGTAGAATGAATAATTCAATAAATATGCAAGACTTGCTTGCAAATGGAGAAATACAAATGGCCAGTACATACATGAAAAGTGTTCAACATGTTTGGTCATTAGGGAAATATAAATTCAATTTTTAGAGAATTAGTTCCTATTTTTTTGTGGAAAGGCTTTCAACATTACATAGATCAGGTTTGCCACCAACTTACAGGTATTGGTCTGCCTCTGCTTCCTGAGTGCTGGCAGAACCATATACATTTTATAATTAGCTTTGACAAGTATAAAATGCTGTGTTAAAACTGGATTGAAATTACATTAAATATGCTGATTGGTCTGAGATTGACACAGTAGTCTTCCAAGCGCAGGCCTTTGAGCTCTTTCTTCATTGTTATATGTTTTTCTTTATACAGGCCATGCACATGTTTGGTTGGGTTAATACTTAACTATTTAATGGTACTATATATAGAAATATATATTTAAATAATACTGACCTTAGTTACTCAATTATTAGTCATATGAAATGTTTTGATGATTCTTTGAGGTTGCCCACAAAAATAAATATTATCTACAAAGAAAAATAGATTTATGTATCTTTTTATAGTCTATTATTTTCTGTTATTTATAGCACTGGCTAGGATTTCTATCTAGGATGATGTTGGGATAGGAATGCTCTGAGCAGACAATTTGATTTTCCCCCTTTAAGTTAAGGAGAGCAAATTTATTTATTCACTGTGTATTACAGTAGGTGCAGATCATATAGAAACATATTTGGTCAATGGATGTCCCCCTGTGTCAGTTTACTGTCACTATATCAGGAGAAATGCATTGTTTTGGCCAGTGGTTTCAGAGGTTCTAGTCTATGGTCAGTAGGCTCACTTGCATTTATGCTGGTGAGAAACCACTACTTCATGGTGGGAGTCATAGGGGGTGGGGCTTCTTATAACTATGGCTACAAAGGGACCAGGGTTCCACAGTGCTCTTCAATGGCACACCTCAGTGACCCGACTACATCTGTCTAGCTCCTCTAAGGATTCTGTCAGCTTCCCAACAAGCCTTAAGTGCATGGACTTTTGAAGGACACTGAGAAACCAAACCTTGGCACCTTCTTCTAGTTTGAACAGTTTACATTTTTCATTATGAACAGTTTTTTTTTTTTTATTTTGCTTTTGTTTTCAAGACAGGGTTTCTCTGTTTAGCCCTGGCTGTTCTGGAACTCACTCTGTAGACCAGGCTGGCCGCGACTTCACAGAGATCTGCCTGCCTCTGCCTCTGCCTCCCGAGTGCTGGGATCTTTTGATCTTTTGAGATGACAGTGTCACTTTTCTTTTTGAGTTTGTAGTAACAGGCAATGCATTATACGGACACTAGAGTGCTGAACCAGTTTTGCTGTGCTAGGACCCTGTCAACTTGACAGACTCTGTATTCGGCCTGCTCAAATCTGATGTTTATCTTCTCCAGTGAAGTCTATGTTGCTTGTTTTTAAATTTTGAAAAATATATACAGTAAGCAAAAATTGTTAGGTGGATCCCCTGACTCCCTGTTCCCCCCCCCATTCCCTATGACCTTACACCCCTCCACCCTACTCCATAGCTTCCTTTGTGTTCTCAGGGTGTGTGTCCTGGTCTCTCCTCTTCTAAACACTTCCTCTCCTTTGCTTAGTCTCTTTTCTAGCTTTATGGTCTACACCTGCACTCTTGCTCACGTACAAATGTTTCAATACTGTAAGCTAATGTCATAGCTTGTTTTCTATTGTTGTGGTAAAAACACTGACCAGGACAAACTTGAAGAGGAAAGGGTTTATTTGGCTTACACTTCCATGCTGCAGTCCACCATTGAGGGAAGTCAGCCCAGGAACTGAACCAGGAACCTAGAAGCCCAAACTGAAACAGAGGCCTGGGAGACCACAGCTTACTGGCTTCCTCTTCCTTGCCTGGTCAGTTTGCCTTCTTATACACCCTAGGACCACCATCTCAGAGACTTTTAGGAGTATATAACATACTTTGTTAACAGAACAATAGACCTTTGAAACAACACTTGGAGCAATAGTCTCATACCTCATCATAATAAAAGTCAACTTTGATTGTGATTTGATCACGAATAAAACAAATTCCTAAAAGCCAGGACAATAGTTTACTTGGTAAAGGGCTTGCCAAGCAAGTATTAGAACTTTGAACCCTAGCACCCACGTAAAAAGCATAGTAACTTTTCTGTTGCTATAATACAACACCATGACCAAAAGCAGCCTACTGAAGAGTTTATTTGGACGTGTGGCTACAGAGGTGCAGAGGCGTGTGAGCAGGCAGCATGCATGGTGGTGAAAGCAGGGTGCTGAGAGTTCCCACCATTAAACACAAGCATGAAGCAAGAGCTTCCTTCAGGAGTACCACACCACCTAAACCTAACCTCCCCAAACAGCGCCACCAACTGGAAGCCACATTCAGTGAACCCCAGGCCCAAGTGACAAACCATGCCTCCCCCCCAAAAAAAACCTCAAAGTACAACACAAACAAGATGGACACATGTGCATATGAACCTATAAAGCCTAACCCAGTGTCATACCTCCTCCAGCAAGGCCACGCGTCCTAGCCTTCCCTAACCAGCACCACCAACTGGCGACCAAGTATTCCAATGCTAGAGCCTGTGGAGGACATTCTTCTTCAATCCGCCACAAGGAGGATAATAGAGAAAGAGACAGTTTTAGCCTCTGATCTCCACATTTGCGCACACATGTGCACACATACCACCACACACAAACACATGAACACAAAAGCTGTATTATACTTCTTGGTTTCTCTGTGTCTGCGATACTGTGTGTATTGCTCATGTCTCTGTCATGTGCCATGTGCCCTGTCTGGTTTAGTTTTCTCTGTGGTCACTAATCCACTCCTATAACGTCACTGCTCACTTCTGTCTCATCAGTGGCCCCTAGTTGTCTGCATTTGCATCTGCAAAAGTGGGTGAGCATTATCAAAATGTCTAAGGCAGTCGCATAGTGTAAAATTGAGGAACATCTACTTGTGTTTTTCCTCTTAAATAAACTTAATTTTGAAAAATAATATAGACGCTTTGGTTCACCACGTTGGACTTTGTTAGAACTGTACTTTGGTCTGTCATTGGTGCCGTATCTTTAGAGAGGAGACATTTGTTAGTGTCTCCCCCAGAAAAGTTCATGCAACAGATGCAAATACATATGGCATGAGGTCTGTTCCATGTATGTGCAGAATATGTTTTGTGGGGACAAAGAAAAAGCACCAAACATTCTTTGTGTTCTCTTACCTGACTTTGCAAGTGAATTAATTCAGTTCTACACCCTGTTCTCATTCTGTGTCGTTTACATTTTCCTACAGCTTTTGTTCCTCACACTTCCATATCATTGCCAACTATGACCTCTTTATTTCTAGTTTATATTAGATGGTTTGACCACCTTATAAAATCTAACAGCTGCTACACAATGCAAATAACTGTCACCATCTGAACACCTTGTATCCCGAACATACTTCTGCCATAGCGTCTGCTGCAATGCAACCATTAAGGAGCTACATCTTTACCTCTTGTCAAAGAGAAATTCCTTGTCAAAATGCATGATTGCTTTATTGTAGCCAGCCAGCATGACTATAATGAAGTAACTCAGAGCTAATTTAATGAACTAGCCTTTTCTTCTTTTCTTTTTTTCTTTTTTCCTCCTTTGCCCCTGGATTGAACTCAGGGCCTTGCAAATGCTAATCAGGCACCCTGCTGTTGTTCTACCTCCTAACCCTTGTGTTTTCCTGTCGTCACTCAGACTGAACTGAAATTGTTGTTTCAGGGACCCGTGACACTAAGGGATGTTACTGTGGAATTCACCAAGGCAGAATGGGAGTTACTGACCCCTGCCCAGAAGGCCCTTTACAAGAATGTAATGCTGGAGAATTATCGTCACCTGCTTGCTGTGGGTGAGAGAATTTTCCTCATCTATGAATCCAGTTGTTTCCATTTCTTCTCCCATTCACTGGGACATGTAAGGTCTCTGTAATGTCAAGTGGTATGTTGTTCCATGATTCCAAGTCAATCTGTTTGGGAATACCTGAAAACCTATGTGTGTTTCTACCTCTTCATTTAAAGAATAAACTTGTGAAGCACAGGTGAGATCCCCACTGTTTTCCTGAAATTGTACCTCACTTCCAAAGAAATCTGTGTCATCCCCTTTATCTTTAACAGGTTACCGTGTGGTTAATCGGAGTGTGATCTCCAAGTTGAAGAAAGGAAAAGAGCCGTGGGTATCAGAAAAAGAACTGCCAAATCGGAGACGTGCTGGTATGTTTGAAAAAATTCGTGTTGCATGTGACCTTTGAAATACTTGTCATGAATGCCTTTTGAAATAGTTTTTCAAGAATCTCCCTAAGTCCTCTAGAGTTCTATAAATGATTGAAAATACTGTCTACATACGTTTGAATCCTACATCACACCAATTTTTCTTCTCTCCATAGAAATCCCCCCAGCTACACTTTTTTCTTTCTTTCTTTCTTTCTTTTTTTTTCCCCCAAGACAGGGTTTCTCTGTGTTATCCCTGGCTTTCCTGGAACTTGTTCTATAGACCAGGCTGGCCTCAAACTCAGAGAGCTACCCACCTCTGCTTCCCAAGCGCTGGGATCAAAGGTGTGTGCCACCACTGCCCAGTGGAAATCCCTCTTTTATTAGACATTCTTAAAAACAGGTTTACATCTCTTTTCTTGGTGGAAAATAGAATTCCTATGCTGTCTTAGCTCAGAGTTTTATCTTTCGTTTTCAAATGTCCAATTTTCCCCTACTGTTAGAGCATGGAACATAACCTTAAAGATGTTTTCACAGGCTATCCCTCACTTTTTCTCTATTAACAACAAAATATGTTATTCTTAGCACCAGTTTTAATTTCCTAGTCTGTCTTTAAGCTCTGAATTCTGATTCTAAGTCATGATGTTGCTTGCCGGTCATATTTCTTTCAGGAGAACTGATGTTTCTGCTTGGGTTTGCTCTTAGCATGCAACTCTGCACGTTATTTGCAGAGGTATAACACCAAGTTACTCTAACCCCATCCAGTAGTGATCTCCATCTGCCTTCTGACTTGTGTGCTGATTGGCAATGCTTTATATACACTACTTGTTTGCTAGACATTTGTTGGGAGTACAAATGTTTAGAAACAAGAGATACTGCCTACTTTCTGCTTTATAAAAGTCCTCCCAGGGCTTCCCATTTCAAAAACCAAAGCATGCAATTTTACACTGAGAACTGACTCTGATATCTTTGTCCTATTTGGTGTCACATTTTACTTTCTTACTCCTTTTTTTCCCCCTTAGAGTTAAAAAACACCAAGACTGGGTCTCAGGTTGACCTTAAATATGTCACCCTTTGTTTCCTGTGGAATAATTTTTTAAGGATCTTGTAGTAAGTTGGAAGGAGAGCTACGGGAGCTAAAATATAAAAACAAGACCCATGACTTTTACTGAATCATGGGTAATAGTGCCTTGGAAACACAGGATTTGGTGGTCAGGATATGATCAGGATTGGCAATCTCTAATTTGACAACTAGGAATTTACCCTTCTATATAGATAGTTTGTCCCCTGATTTCCCTTTTGTCCTTCCTTTCCAATGTATGTGTTCCTAGGTCCTCGTGTTCAGGTAAAAATTAAGCCAACTGTCTGAAAAGTAAATGCCTAAACAACAGTGATACTTCTCACCATATGAGAAGATTGGTAGTCTGAGAAATTCACTTTATTGTTGATGTCCACATTGCCCTGGACAGATGAAGAAGTACAATACAAGTGTGTGTCTGCTAACTACAGTAATCCTAGTCCACCTGAAGTTTCATTTGTGGTTTCTGTTATGCATGGCCGACTGCAGTCTGCAGATATTAAGTGGAAAGTCAACAATTCATAGAGTTTAAACCACATGCTATTCTGAGCAGCATGATGAATTCTTGGGTAGTCCTGCTGTTAGTCATTAGCATGAATAGTCTTTTTCTCTACTCCAGCCACGACGTGTGTTGCTTGCATTAGTCACTTGGTAGCCATCTTGGTTTTCAGACCAATTGTGGAAGGACCATAGTGCTTGTGCTCAAATGATTCTTTTTTCTTTTTTTTTTCTTATTAAAAGTCGAAAAGCACAAGAGTAGAAATCCTAAAAATTCAGTTATGCCAAAGTGAAGCCTTTAAGTACTTCTTTTTACTAATAAGGAAGAAAGTATATCATAAGAAATTGGGGCGGGGGAGGGAGAGGGAACTGAGATTGACATGTAAAACAATTGTGTTTCTAATTCAAAGAAAAAAATGAAAAAAAATAAATTGGGGGGGTGAAAGCCATAGGATGTATAGTACAGGGCTATCTGTAGTTTCAAGCTTTCACTAGGAATATTATTAAACAGTAATCTATGTTTGCAGGTGTAAAGACCTGTATATGAGTCAATTGATTCCTTCATCCAATTACTCTCTACTCTTGACTGTGGATGTCACTAACTGCTTCAGGTTTCTGCCTTGACTCTCCTGCAGTGATGGACTCTAACCCCGAATTGTAAATGGAATAAGCCCTGACCCCCTTAAAGTGCTTTTGTTAGGTTATTTTTATGACTGAAGCAGAAATGAAACTAGGACATTCCTATGTCAAAAACAAAAGTCTAGGGCCTGGAGAGATGGCTCATCAGTTAAAAGCACTGGCTGCTCTTCCAGAGGACCTGAGTTCAATTTCCAGAACCCACATGGCAGCTCACAGCTGTCTGTAACTCCAGTTCCAGATCTGACACCCACACACAGACACCCATGCAGGCAAAACACCAATGCACACAAAATGAGTAAATCTTAAAAAAAAAAAAAAGCCTGAAACTCACTTAGCAGGCTCTGAAGGAACCTGATTATAAACCCAAACACCTCTGACATCTCTGTCAACGTAACTCTAAGAACCCAGAGGTGAAAGTTGAGACAAAAGAGAAAGAACATGGATCAGAGAACAAAATACGTTGCTGATTAGGAATGTGGGAATCAAAGAACGATGCTAGCTCATTAAGGACAGTGAACAGTAAGCTGGATAAGAAATAATAGTGGGCACCTGTGGCTAGGAATTACTGGTGTCGGGGGAGACCTGACCCAGGGAGCAATGCCTCCCACCTTTAGACTGATTCTGCCCACATCAATTAACATAATCAATGCATGCCCACAAATCTAGATGATTCCCCTTGAGACTCTCTGGGGTAACAATGAAAACTGTCACAAATGGTATAGAGGAACTTTTCATTTGAGAGTGCTTTCATCTTGACAGACTTATCTAAAGACTAAGAATCAACCTTTGACCATAATGGTGTGTTAAAATCTTGATTCCTTTGTAGACAAACAACGGAATGCTTCTGACCCCAAAACCAAACACCAGGAACGTCAGGCTGGAAATGCAAGGCAAGTTCAATAATTAATGGGTAGGATAGAAGCTTTCTGAGGAAGAATAGTCTTGTTTGAAATGCTGGAAGTGGGAAAGAAATTGTTGATTAATATGAAATATGATTAAACTGGCACTGGAATAAATCCCAAAGAATGTGACCCAAACAGGCATGCCTTCCTGAGGAGCATGATTTAGGATCAAGGGAGTCAAACTTTGTAGCTATCTTTTCCTTTTTTTTTTTTCTGAATTTTGCAGTAAGGGAGACTTTATTCCAGAAAGTACAATGTAGGCATTAAGAAACTCTGAGATTTCAGGAGAAGCCTCATCCGGTACAGTGTTAAGTCACACTGTAGATCAGTGCTCACACTGGAGAAGCCCTATGAACCCAATGCACAGCTTTATTGAAGTCACCATCAGAGTGATTCAGAGAATGCACAGACCCCCAAAAGCTCTGAAAGTCCTATTAATGAGTTGGGAACTTTCTTTCTAGGAAAGGAGAACTCAGCAAACGTCGGAAAACTCCCACCCAGCATGAAAGCTATGACTGTAGTGAATGTGGAAAGTCCTTCTGCCAGAAGTCTTCCCTCACCGTGCACCAGGAAACACATACCAAGAAGTCCCATAGGTGTGAAAAATGTGGTCAGTCTTTCTATACAAACGAAGAGCTTACAATACATCAGAAAGTTCACACCAGAGAAAAAACCTACCCATGTAAAGAATGTAACAAAATTTTCTACCACCTGTCATCCCTCACTAGGCATCTGAGAATCCATGCAGGGGAGAAACCCTACGCATGTAGCCAGTGTGACAAATCATTCTACCAGAAGCCACACCTCACAGAACATCAGAAAACACACACAGGGGAGAAGCCTTTCGAGTGTAAGGAGTGTGGGAAGTTCTTCTATGTGAAGGCATACCTCCTGGTGCACCAAAAGACACACACAGGGGAGAAACCTTTTCAGTGTAAGGAATGTGGCAAATTCTTTTCCCAAAAGTCACACCTCACAGTCCATCAGAGAACACACACAGGGGAGAAACCCTATAAATGTAAGGAATGCGGGAAACTCTTCTCTAGGAATTCACACCTTAAAACCCACCAGAGAACCCACACAGGAGAGAAACCTTATAAATGTAAGGAATGTGGAAACTGCTTCTACCAGAAGTCAGCCCTCACTGTGCACCAGCGAACCCACACTGGGGAGAAACCTTTCAAATGTAGTAAGTGTGGGAAAACCTTTTACTATAAATCAGACCTCACCAAACACGAGAGAAAGCATACCGGGGAGAAGCCCTATGAATGTACAGAGTGTGGCAAGTCTTTCTCTGTGAACTCAGTCCTCAGATTACATGAAAGGACTCACACGGGAGAGAAGCCCTATGAGTGTGACATATGTGGGAAATCCTTTTCCCAGAAGTCACATTTTGTCATACACCAGAGAAAACATACTGGGGAGAAGCCCTATGAGTGCCAGGAGTGTGGGCAAAATTTTGTCCAGAAGTCACAACTCAATGCGCACCAGAAGACACATGCCAAGAAGGGGAAAGCTAACAAATAGTGTGAATTCAGAATCTCCCCCATAATTCATCCTTCTCGTATAATCCACACAGAAGGAGAATCTTCTAAGTATCGAGAAAAACATTGTTGGCCATGTTTTTCCCTTACAGAATTATCAGCACATGTACAGAAGGAAATTCTGGGATGTTATTAGGAAGAACTTTACAGTATGGCCAACTTTTATAAATATCAGGTGGCATAAACTGTGAAAATTGTAAAACATGAAAGATGACATGGGGCAGAAATCCAGTAAGTGAATTTCCAGAAGTTTCTGTCATAGCATCTAGTACCACCATCCAAAGTCCACAGTGAGGACCTCCCATGGGTATCCGAGCACTCAAAAGCCTCTTCACACAGTTGCACTTGTGTTAAAAAGATTGAGGGGAATTAGTGTACAGATTGCAACAGATATTACTAAGCCTTATTAAGAACACATCCATCACTGAATGTTAATTATATTAATACTTTAATCGTACCTATGTAGGCATTTTCAATATTTGAAATATTTTTAAGAAAAATTAAAGGAATTTATCTTGAAGGCGGCAGCCACACTGTAAGTCATGTTGCTAGTTCCAAGATTGATTTTTTCCTTCCTAAAGAAGCAAGCAACAAAACCAAAAACCAACAGATATCACATATATCAAGCTATTTAAAGAGCAAAAATAATGAGGAAACACCGTTAAACAAAGATGTGTTTTTGATATGTTAGGGTGTAGGTGTGTATCTACAAAACAAATTTATAGGTGTGCGATGTGCTTGTGGAAGCCATCTGTCATTCAGTAGCTGTCATGTGTGAGAACACCTGCACACATCACATCAACAGTGATTTCCACTGATAGTGTTGTTACTGTAACACGTGTTGGTGTATACTTTAAAAATATCGTGTATCTTTTCATCTACTCCCTGGCGCTTACAAATGGGTTCAGACATTGCTACTAAAGGACCCCTCAGAAGAAACATAAATGTTTTTGTAATTTTATCAGCTATATCATGATCAGCGGAACTTTGGGTTGGAGATGGATTTGTAGCAGTCTCAGCTGCTTCTAAGGCAGCCGTATTTACTTCTCTTACTGTAGATGTTGTGTAGCAGTAGTATGTGTCTTTGTATTTTGTATGAAAAATACCTCATGGTTTTCCCTTCCTTTTCTGGGTAGCGGGAGGCAACATGGCCAATGGCTAAAAGTGAGATTCTAGGCTCTTAATGTCTTGACCCAGACACCAGCATGGGCATGCCATGAAACTTCACTGTGCCTCCGTTTCCCTTCCTGTGAGAGCAATGATAGGGGCATCCTAAAATTGCCTTGAGGTTGACATAGATTGATATTTTAAAACACTTAGAACAGCGTCTGTAATACATAAAAACTTGACATTAGATATGATTCTCATTAATTTGTATTTCCTGACTCATACAGTGAAAAGGTTGGCAACCCACTACATATCTCCCACCTTATTGCTGTTAGTGCCTTGATTTGATTTGGTTGTGTATCTACCCACAGTGGCTCAGGAGCAGATCCTGAGTAGGCAAGGCCAGGGATTAGTGAACCACCGTCCTTCTGCCAGATAGATCCACAGCCCATTTTTGTAGCCTCTAAGCTGAGATTAGTTTTATATGACTCAGTTATTGCAAGAATTAAATATTTTGTGACACACGAAGGTTGTAGGAAACAAAATTCCAGTGTCTTTAAATGAAGCACTTTGAGAACACGAATACAAACCCATTTGCTTACACTCTGCCTGTGGCTGCCCTCACACTGCGCCGGCAAAGCTGATAGAGGCAAACCACATGGCTAAAAGAGCCTAAGATATTGACGACTCAGCACTTTATCACATAGGTTTCTGTTACTCAGAGCTGCCCACACCGCAGCCGGTCCTGAGCCCACTCCTATAAATGTTCCGTTTATGAAACATGATGCAGCAGTATGTGGATGAGTGATTTCTGTGTAGTATATTTATTTTGTTCATTGTATTTATATGTGGGAAAAGCCTAGGCTTCGAAGTATTTTTCCCAAAGGAATGTGTTTTTTTTCTTTTTGTATTTACTGAATTGTTACATTAAAATAAATTTCCCGGTGGAATGTAACAAATATATGAAATAAACTTTGCCTCAATTAAATTGCATTGAATTTTCAATCGATCTTTTCCCATGCTATGCATCTATTTTCTTCCAAGTCAATGACTAGTTTTTCTTTTATCATTTATAATTTTCTGTTCCATAATAACATGCCATCTACATCATTTATTATTAGTATTTGTGTGTTTATGTGTAGGTGTCTTTTTGTGTATGTGAGATTTCTTAGCCCAGTCAACTCTGCCCACTACTGGCTGGATGAAGCCAGCCGACTGACAGACCCTGGCCAGTGCCAGGGCCCATGGAAGAAATAGCTCGTTTATGCTATTTAAATTATTAAGTTTTGAGTATGTGGAACTGAACCACCGAGGAGGTTGTGAATCACATTTTCGTTGGATGACTAGTCTCTGGGTGGTGTGGGGTATCTGTGGCCCTCAGGAATTTGCCCCCATTTATGCCATGGCTAGTCTCTGGCTTCATAGGGATGGTATCTGTGGCACTCAGGAATTTATTAGCATTTATGCCAACTGTTGAATTATAAGAAGAGCTTGCCCAAGTGTAACCTCATGAATGAAAAGCAATATTATCCAAGTTAGTTTATCACCCCTGCCTATATCTAGATCTTGAAATTTTATAGCAAAAACAAACCCTCCAAATGTCCAGAGTTTTAAAGTAAATATTGGGGAGGGAGAATTACTTTTATTTTGGGGGGGCAGCCTATGTCCCAAGGGATGTTCCCACACCATCTGCACATGGGAAACACTAACTAGGTTCATCGGATTCTTGTCAGAAATAATTAAAACGTTGGGAGGGATACGTGTTGGACAGAGGCAGGGAGAGTTGGAGGAAGGGAGTGAGGTATATATGAAAAAGGTATGTTGTTTATAGGTATCAAATTTTTAAACAATTAATAAAAATAAGACCTGGGGTGGATTTTATCTAAAAGATTCAACCTTTGGCAAGATCTTGCTGGGGGAGCTGTGTCACTGGGGGTGGGCTTGGGGTTTCAAGAGGCTGGCACCATTCCCATTGTGTGTCTCTGCCTCCTCCTTGTGGGTCAGCCGTTCCTGCTGCCACGCCTCTGCTCTACCATTTCGGACTCTAACACTCTGAAACTGTACACACAATTAAACCCTTTTTTCTACAAGGAAATAAAAAAAAAAGCCCTGGTCATGGTGTTTTATCACAGCAATAGAAAACTAAGTAAGACAGTTTTCCTCCTAAAAACTTTCAAACAAGGGGCTGGAAAGATGGCTCCGTGTTTGAGAGCACTGGCCGCTCTTCCAGAGGACCCGGATCCAGTTCCCTGGCCCCACATGGTGGATCACGGCCATCTGTAACTCCACTTCCAGGAGATCTGATGCCCTCTTGTTACCTCCACAGGCACACACAGGATGCACATACATGCAGGGAAAACACTCATACACGTAAAATACATCTCATTTTAAAAATTCAAACAAACCGGGTATGGTGTGCACATAGCAAAGTCCAGGACAGCCAGATCTACACGGTGAGACAGGGTTAAAAAACAAACAAACAAACAACAAAAACAATCAATTAGGCCTCAATGGAATCTGAAAGTCCCCTGCCTCATCTGACTTTCTGTTCAGATCTGGCTCCAATTTGCCCTCAACAAACAAAACTGGTGGCCTGAATTTGGCACATTCAACCCTGCCATCTGGTGGGAGGACCTCAACAACCTCCTCCAATGAGATGAGATGGAACGTGGTTAGAGATTATTTATTATGTATATAGTCTTCTGCCTGCAGGCCAGCAGAGGGCACCAGATCTCATTCAAAGCGGTTGTGAGCCATGGTGTGGTTGCCGGGAATTGAACCCAGGACCTCTGGAAGAGCAGTCAGTGCTCTTAACCACTGAGCCATCTCTCCAGCCCCCAATCCTTCTGCTATCCTCACTCCTATCCCTTCTCTTCCCTCCCTTTCTGCATGCCAGCCCCTACGAGCTTGAACTCTTAGCCCTAATCTCCTGGACTGTCTCTCAGATTCTGATTCGGCAGACGAGCCACTTCCCTATCAAACTTCATCTGAGACTTCCTTCTATCTCTGTCTCTCGCCCCCTCTTCTCTTAGCCCACCTAATCGCTCATCCTTGGTCGCAACGCACCCCTCTGAGCCATATTTCTTCACTCCGACTTTCCTCATAATCCTGACCACTCAGTCTTCCCGCCATTGCCTTCTTTGTCTCTTTGCTCTACCTGGTCCCTCTTCCTCAGCCCCAAAGTCCACCCCAGAACCTCCTCTTTCACCCCCGTCCTTGCCTATACTTTCCTTTGGTACAGGGTGCACTATCCCACTAACTTGTGTGTCCATGACCTCTATTTTGTGTGTGTACTATTGGAACCATTCCAAAGTTCACTCTTTCCTTAACCGACCACTTGAATCCCAGTGAGCTCACACACTTTGCTTATATAACCTTGGCAAGCCTAGCTTTGCCTTCCAATCAACTGATTAGAATTACATATCCTGCACATACTCTTCCAAAAGTCATATTTAACGAGAAGTGCGTACTCCTTCCTACCTTAATATATCTCTCTGGTCCAAAGTAAATTACTGTTACCATAGGTATAAGAGTTAAGGGAGGGTCTTATGGATTCTGTTTTCACTACCCAGAAACTATCCATAGAACTCACAACTAGCTACACCAACTCACAGTCCTTTGATAATATAGGAGCATAAAATTGGCATGCAATGGTTATAGTCTAGAACCCTAGATTTACTAACCACTGCTCAAGCTCGAGGTATGCTAAAAGAAAAACATGTTGTCTTATACCAACAAGTCTTCACAAATACAAAAAAGTCTCTAAAACCTCAAACATGCCAGTGAGTTTTTGAGAACAAGGAACAGGTAAGTGTAGACTTCACCCCTTATCAAAAGGGCTTCTACAGCGGCAGGGGCCCATTACCAAAGGCCACATCTTACCAAAACACAGAGAGCAACTGAAGGTGGAGTTCTCAGCCCCAACCGATACAACATGACCCCTGCACCTAAGGCTCAGGCAACACTGCAGAAGACATGGCAGAGATTTTTAGGGCCAGAGGACCTGAAGTCTGTTGTGAGTCTGTGCCATCTAGTTATGACAGGGAAGCTACACCCATGAAATCTCGACACAAACAAAACAATTCCAACACTAGTTGACATTCCACCATAACTTTAAGCACAACTTTCCTTCTTTTGAAGCGTAAAGAATATACTGATTTGATCCCCAAACCCTAGGGTTCTGACAGAATGTTGGCTCTAGATAGGAGTAGTAAAGATACAGAAACTGCATGGTGTACCACAAAGCCCGGTCCTGAGAAATGAGTCTGACAAGGTTGTGTTTTCACTGTAAACGTCTTTAGTTCTGGAAAGCTTGGTTTATAGACACTGTCAAGAGCATCATTTTACAATAGAGGGTGAGACAAGAGCTGACTCCATTCTCCAGGAACTACCACTCCTTCCAACCCTGGACTTAGGGACCCCACTCCCAGCACAGATGGGCGCACCGCCCCTTCCCCCGCGCATGCGCACACGGTATTGCTGCATTCCTGCTCCTTCCCTGGCCTCGCGCCCCTCCTGGGAAACAATTCCTGGCCTTCGGCTCCGTGCATTGCGGGAGCGGCGGGTGAGCCCTAGACGGTGGCAAGGGCGAAGGGTTCTGGGAACTCGGGGCCATCCGGACAGCGGTAGGCAGCGAACAGGGGCCCGCGGGGGACCCGTCTGAGCAAGTACTGGGGTGCGTTCGGACGCCGGCATTCGGCTGCCGAGGTCCAGATGGTCCTGCACCTCTGCAAAGCAAACCTAGGGCCGCTAGCTTGTGCCGCGCGTGCGCCTTTTTGTGCACTAGGAGGGGACGAAGCGGGGTTGTAGGGTGGGACCCTGAGGAGTTACGCATGCGTGGCATGAGAGTGACGCTGTGACGCGTGCGTTCTCTGGCTGCTGGGGCCAGATGCTGGGATGTGGGGGGCGAGCGCGCAGTCCTGGTCCCGAGTGAATGAATTACTGGGACAGAATAACCCACTCGAGACTCGGTTTCCTTTTCTGCACAATGTGACTATTACGAATACTTGGTGCCTTTGTTTGGTTGTTTGTTTGCTTAAGCTGCTAATGCTTCTTGTGCAGGGAATATCCTGCGAGGGTCTCAGAGAGCCCACCTTTGCCTCGGGCCTTTGGACTGGTTCCTAGGGCGCAGTGTTTGGAGAGGAAGAGGAAAGAGCCGGCCTAGCTAGCCACCGAGCCTTCTGCCCCTCACACACTCGGGATCCCCGTTCTGAATTTGATACTCGCTCATTTGTTGTGTGCAATGACACAATATCTTGAAACCATGGAAGACTGTGTGCCCGCCGAAAGTCTGGGACAAGTTTAAGGAGAGAGAGGTGAGCTGGAGTTGAGAGTGATGGGTGCACCTAGTTGCACAGGGAATGCTACTTCTTTGGGAACCGATTAGGGGTGAAAGGATCACCAGCCACAGGTCCAGAATTGCTGTCACCCTCTTTCCCAAACGTCCCATGCACCCTTCCTACTTTGTTGTCTATGAGGGGGCAGTCTCTGGCTCCTACAAAGGTGTCACGAAGGGAAATGCTATGGGCCCTGCTTTTTTGACCATAAATGTCCACTGGGCAGTGGAGGTGGCTCCTTGGGTTAATCAGTTTCAGTTTTGTTTTTTGTTTTTACATTAAGCTTGAGAACCTAAGATTATCTTGCAAGTTTTTAGTGACACAGCCAAGGCCTGCAGATGGTTGTACATTTGTCAGTTTTTGCCCAAAGTCTCTTATCAAGAGATGTCAAGAGAGTTGTAAGCAAGAAACTTGGGATACATTTTTGCCATATCTTGCCTTAGAAGCACGCATTCGTTTTTCTCAAGTTTTCTTGAATTATCTGACTTCAGGGGATTAATGGTATCAGATAAACAATACGTCCCTATTTCTCCCCTTGTCCTTTGATTATCAGTCAGGACAAAGCCATGCCATTTCTCCCTTTAGATTATTATTTAGTGAATTAAAAAGATCTTCTCATCTTTTTATTTTTTTTCTATAAGTTGGGTGATAATAAGAAACAGGTGTTTGTATTCAGTCAGCGAGACGTATCTAAACTCGGCGTGTATTAGGGGCACATTTGAAGTAAACACCTGCGTGGAACTGCATGCGCAGTTGAGTCCAGGACTGCAGGGCAGGCCCGCTCTCTCCTGACGCTCTTCCTCTTTCCCCTCAGCTCTTCCCTCCTCCACTCAACAGAAAATGAACAAGTCCCAGGTGAGTTTTTGTTTTATTCATTCCCATTTTGTTTTGAGAATTTGTTTTTGTTTTTGTTTTTTAAAGAACAAGTCAAAATAGGCAAAATTTTACAGTCACAGTAAAAATTTGAATTCGGACAGTTGACAGAATTAGATGGAGGTGAATGTCATGTTTCTTGTAAGTGCGAGAGCAGAGGCTGTGTGTGTGTGTGGGGGGGGGGGGGGGGGGTCGATCCCAACACTGAGGCTGGAGTAGACTGCTCAGGGGCTCCTGTTTTGTTCCCCAGCCAATGCTAATGGAGGTGGAAGGATCGCCATCCCATGTATGCCCAGTGCAGCTCCCCTGAGTGTCTAGCCAGCTCATTTGTGCATGCAGGAAGCTTATGTTTCTACATCTCTCATTTACATTCAACTTGAAAAAGAAGGCTTTGTCCCTTACCACCACTCACCTGGGTCAGTCCTGCAAAGGGCCACCAAGTCATCCTCAAGGCCAGCCAGGGAATAGTCTTTGCCTTTCTTGACTGTCAGCAGCATTTGGTAGTTTCGTCAATGGGCTGTTTAAATTTTTCTTCATTCAAAAAATGTTTTTCACACAATGTATTTCTATTCTTTCCCCTCCCTCAGCTCCTTCCATATTCTCCCCACCCAATTTCATGTTCTTTCTCCCCTGTCTCCCAAACTTAAGAGAAAAACAAAAATCGAAGCAGACAAGCTAAAACACACATGCGCGCATGCATGCATGCACAGAGACTATGTTGAAAGTGCTCTCTGTTGTTGGGACACCATGCTCTAAACTCTCATTCCTGACTGGTTTCCCACAAACTCTTATGACGGCATCTTTTCTTTTTGCTCCAGACATTGCTTTCATACCTGACCCCCCCACACACACACTTTGTTTTACTGATGGGTTTCATGTGTCTTGTTTTTTTCTTAATGTTTTTGAATTAGTAATATGTTAACATTTAGGATAGTGTGCTAATAAAATTTAAAAATCTGAGGTGGGGGTGAGCACTAATACAAAAGATACAGAAATATGTATTCCTTCCCACTCTTTCTGTACCATGTACACGGGGTGATGTTTATCCTCTTGAGACATTTTCACTGAGCATGAAACAGATTCTATAAATAATTAGGCTAGGTCAGTTTGCAAATTTTGGGGCAATTCTAGATATAAATGTATGGTCATCCCACCATAGTTAACCATTTTGTAATACTGTTAGAAAATGTTAGTGTTAATTCAATTAAAACATATACATAGCTATTTTATGTAGCCCTTCCCTTTCTATTTACAAGCCTGATCTTGGGGCTTCTCAGACTCAGATGCACCAGTGAGTCTGTACCTTCATTTTCTTTTTAAATATTTTATTTATTTATTTATTTATTATGTACACAACATTCTGCTTCCATGCATATCTCCACACCAGAAGAGGGCACCAGATCTCATAGCGGATGGTTGTGAGCCACCATGTGGTTGCTGGGAATTGAACTCAGGACCTCTGGAAGAGCAGCCAGTGCTCTTAACCTCTGCGCCATCTCTCCAGCCCCCTGTAACTTCATTTTAGTGTGTGTTCTAAGATAGCAGAGGTAGGGGGAGCCCTGAATTTCCCTCCTTCGCTTTTTCTACCATTCCTTCCTCTCTTTCTCTACCTTCTTCCCTTCCCTTTCTCTCTCCCTCCTTTCTTTCCTTCCCCTCTTCCTCCCTTTTCTCTTTCTCCCTTTCCTCCCTCTCTCCTTCCCTTCCTCTCTCTCTCCCTCTCCCATCTTCCTTCCTCTCCTTTTCTTTTTTCTCTTGGAGATTATCTCCAGAGCCTTGAATACACTCAATAGGTACTCTGCTCTGAGGCACACCCCCAGCTCCTGAGGTTTTTGTTGTTGTTGTTGTTGTTGTTTTTTTTCCAGCCCCTGAGTTTTTAAGGCATGGTCTTGCTGTGTAGTCCAGAAAGGCCGATAGCTCATGACCTGCCTCTGTTATCCTAATGCTGGATTGTGAATCTCTACAGTCAAAGGCTTCACCACTGAGTTGCTCCCTCTGAATTCTGAATTTCTAATGAGCTCACAGCAAAGCCTGTCCTGCCATTCAGGGGACCACATTTGGCATGGCAAGCCCATATTCTATATTTGCCACTCCCTTTTCACTTCACAGTATCTCACTCAGGATGATTTTTTTCTAGTTCCATCCATTTGCCTGCAAATTTCATGATGTTATTATTTTTTAACAGCTGAGTGATACTCTTGTGTAACTGTACATTTTCTTTTTCCATTCTTCTGTTGAGGGACATTTGGTTGTTTCCAGTTTCTGGCTATTATGAATAGAACAGCAGTGAACATGGTTGAGCAAGTGTTCTTGTGGTAGGATGAAGTACCATTTGGGTATATGCCCCAGAGTGGTATGCTAGGATTCTCTAGAGTGTTCATTGCCAGCCCTTTCACATATCCTGTTTTATTGTTTAACATGCTTGCTGCTGTAGAGTTATTGACTGTTGTGTTGGATTTCATATAGGTCATTTCCTTTGCATTGATGATGTGCTTTGAGCATGCTCACCATTTCTTCCAATCTAACCTCCCAGCCACCTCTGATGGCCTGCCATCCCCTAGTCACCCTTCTGCTTTTATGTCATATGTCACATGTATAAGTGTGGCTTTATCCAGTAGACTGAGTGTGTTAGGCTGAGTACAGCCAATAAAAGTTAATATCAAAGGAACAAAAGACATTATCTAAAGAATATAAGATCCATTAGTGAGAGAAAACTGGTATTTATCTTCTGAGTCTGGTTTATTATAGTGATCTGATGTTGCACCCATTTTTCAGCCAACAACATAATTTCATCCTTTTTTAAGGGTGAATAAAATTTCACTGTGCATATATAATTCTCTTCCTGAATTCATCTGTCGATGGACACCTAGATTGTAATCTATAACTTGGCTCTTTTGATAATTCTATAGTACATATAAATGTGGAAATATTTCTGTGGTCTCTGGAATTAAAGCCTGTATTAATTTCCTCTCTGTTGTGATAAAGACCGTGACAAAAAGCCATTTGGGGAGGAGCGTGTTTATTTGTTTGCATGTCCCAATCATAGTCGATCAATGAAGTTAGTCAAAGTAGGAACTCAAAGCAGCACAGGAACCTGGATGCAGGAAGTAAAGCAGAGACCAGGGACTGGTTAGTGTCTCAGTCTCCACAGCTTCCTCAGCTGCCTTCTTACACACCCCCGGACCACCTGCCCAGTGGTAGCACGATCCACCATGAACTGTGCCCTTCTTCATCAATCACTAATCAAGACCCATCCCAGGGTTGCCTACAGGCCAGTCTGATGGGGGCATTTTCTCAATTGAGGTTCCCTTTATCTAGATAACCCTGGCTGTGTCAAGTTGAAAAAAAAAAAAAAAAACCCTAACCAACATAGAGCTCTTTGGGGTGTATACTCAGAAATGGTATAGTTGGGTCAGTATTAGTTGTATTTTAAAAAATTTATTTCGTGTGTGTGTGTGTGTGTGTGTGTGTGTGTGTGTGTGTGTTAATGTTTACTAGCTATTTATATTCTTTTGTGAATTTTGTTCAGTTCCACACACATCTTTTAGTTGGGTAATTTCTTTTCTTGATGTCTAGTTTTTGGTTCCTTGTATATTCTAGATGCTAATTCTCTGTCAGAGGTATAGAAAAAGAATTTCTCCCAGCCAATTCAGTGTGTGGACCAGTCCTGAACCAGTGTTTGGCCTGTTGGTGCTCAGGGAGTTCCACACCTTCCAGAGGCTTCAGGAGAAGGCATAGACCTGGCATAGAGAGCAGATCTGACTCTGGGTTAGACTACAAGGGGATAAGTCCCGAACTGACTATTGGTGCTAATCAGATTCCATATCTCTCAGTGGCTTCAGAGGAAACTGTGGTTGTAGGATGGGGAACAGGATTTAATTCTGCCCACAGGCTTATTTGAAGTTCCACACCTCCCCCGGTGGCTTCAGGTGAAACTTCAGACCCAGGGAGGGACCAGACTTGACCCTGGGTGAGGCCCACAGAGAGTTAAACAACTCCCAGTTGAAGCTGAAGATCCATGCAGGAAGCCTTAGCTGTCACGGGGCAATACTTGACCCTTAGAGGAATATTTAGGATAGAACTTCCAGCCCTAAATACCAGACGTACAAGGAAAATGACATCTCAACCCTACTAGGACTTACTCCTCTCCTGAACACTGGAGACAACCACTGCTGAAAGAAAGGTGCCTTAAATTTAAAAAAAAAAAAAATACAGAAATAAAAATCAAACTCCATATGCACAAATCCCAGCACAGAAACCAAAACAACATAAAATACCAACAAAACACATCTCCTTAACAAATAAGTAATCCTAAATTGGTGCTGTCTTAGTTTGGGTTTCTATAGCTATGATGACTAAAACCAAGTTGAGGAAGAAAGGGTTTATTTCTCTTACATTTCTAAACCATAGTCCACCATCATCAAAAAGAAGTCAGGGCAGGTACTCAAGGTAGGAACCCAGAGGTGGGAATTGAAGCAGAGGCCATGGTGGAGTGCTGCTTACTGACTTGCTCCTTGTGACTTGCTGAACTTGCTTTCTTAAGGCACCCAGGACCACCTGCTGGGGGATGACCCCCCCACCCACCATGTGCAGAACCAGCTTGCCTGATCTTATGGAGGCATTTTCTCAGCCAATTTTCTCCTCCAGCCTGTGTCAACTTGACATAAAAACTAGCAAGCATAGGGAAAGCATTGGGACACCATGAAAATGACTTGGGAGAATTTTCAGACAATTAAAAACAATAACAAGTGGGTTCAAACAACAGTTATAAGCCCAAACAATTCAAAGAGGACATGGGTATATTCCAGAAACTAAAACGATGGATGAAAAGGAAACCAGTCATGAAGATAGATTGCTGAAGAAAACCCAAACTAAAATGATTCTGGAAATGATAAACACACCAAAGAGTTCACCTGGAACAGTTTCAGAACAGTTGATCAAAAAGAAGAAATGAGGCCTAAAAATACCCTGACAATATGGCAGACATTAATATACATTGTTCAATAACAACTTTTTAATTAGTATTTTTATTTTTAAACAATCTTATTTTACATACCAATCCCAGTTCCCTCTCCCTCCCATCTTCCAACCCAACCCTCATCCACGCCTCAGAGAGGGTGAGGCCTCCCATGGGGGATCATCAAAGTCAATAACTTGATGCACCTACAAACCTTGGAGAAAATAAGAATAACTTCCCAAACACTATAAAGGAAGAGGTAATTGTAACCAGGGCTGAAACTAATAAAATAGAAACAAAAGTACAAACAAACAGAAAATAAAGAGTTGATTCTTTTTATTTTTTTAAATCAGGCTGGTCTGGAACTCACAGAGATCTGCCTGCCTCTGCCTCCCAAGTGCTGGGATTAAAGGCGTGCGCCACCAACGCCTGGCTCTAAAGATTTTATTTTATTATATTTATATTTTATGTATGTGAATGCTCTGCATTTACACTTGCAGGCCAGCAGAGGGCACAAGACCTCATAACGGATGGCTGTGAGCCACCATGTGGTTGCTGGGAATTGAACTCAGGACCTCTGGAAGAGTAGTCTTGCTCTTAACCTCTGAGCCATCTCTCCAGCAAGAGTTGATTCTTTGAAAAAGAATTGCTATTGAAAAGCTATTAAACAAATTAAACCTTCCTCCAAAAGAAAAGACTCATTAATGAAAGTAGAGATGAAAGGGGAGAACTTCAAAACAGATACTAAGGAATTTGAGAGATTCATTAAGAATATACTTAAAAAACTTATACTCCACTAAACTTGAAAATCTAAAAGAAGTGGATGAATTTCTAAATGTGTATGATCCATTAAATTGAATCAGAATGAGGTAAATAATAATAGACCCTAACAACCAAAGAGGTGGAAGCAAGCTCTCCAACTGAAAACAGGTCCAGATAGGTTCAGAGCTGAGTTCTGACAGATTTTCAAAGAAGAAAATTAATGTCAAATTATTCCATAAATAAAAAGGATGACACACTTCCAATTATTATTATTTTGAGATAAGTTCTTACTCTGTCATCTTTGCTGTCCTGAAATTCTCTATGTAGCCCAGGCTGACCTCAAACTCACAGAGACCCACCCACCTGTCTCTGCTTCCAAGTTCTGGGATTAAAGGTGTTTACCACCGTGCTTTGCCCAAATTCTTTTTGTGAAGCCAGTATTGTTGTGATAACAAAACCAGGCAAAGACCCAACAAAGGAAATTATAGGGCCAATCTGGTGTACACAGACACAAAAGAGTTTTCAATGAAGAACTTACAAACCAAATTCAAGAACATCTTAAAAAGATTGTCTACCATGATCAAGTTGGCTTCATCTCAGTGATAGAGAGATGGTTCAACGTGTGTAAATCAATAAATATAATCTACTACGTAAAAAATTACAAGGCCAGAAACCAAATGGTCATCTCATTAGGTGCAGAAAAAGCCTTTGATAAAATCCAGCATTATTTGATGAGAAAAGTCCTGGAGAATCTAAGGGACATGCCCTAACATAAAGAAAATATACAGTAAGCCCAGAGCCATCACTATACTAAGTGGGGGGAAAACTGAAGCATTTCTGCTTATGTCAGGTTTAAGACAAAGATGTCCACTTTGTCCACTCCTATCCAACATAGTACTTTAAGTCTTATCTAGAGCAGGAGGACACAAAAGGAATACAAATAGGAAAGGACAAACTCAAAAGTACCAATATTTGCAGATGATATACAATTCTATACATAAAAGACTCTGAAACTCCCCCAGAAGTCCCCTAAAGCTGATAAAAAAATCAAACAAAGTAGCAGGATAGAGCATAGCACAAAAAGAGTCAGTAGCCTTGTTATATGGCAACGATGATCGTGTGGAGGAATGATCCCATTCTCAGTAACCTCAAAAACTTTTTTAAAAGGGTAAATCCAACTAAGGAATTGGAAGACGTGTACAATGAAAATGTTAAGATACTGAAGAAAGAAATTAATGAAGATGCAGGAAGGTGGGGAAACCTGGCACCTTCATGTACCGATAGTATTAATATTGGGAAACTGAAGCCGGGCGTTGGTGGCACACGCCTTTAATCCCAGCACTCGGGAGGCAGAGGCAGGGGGATCTCTATGAGTTCAAGGCCAGCCTGGTCTACAGAGCGAGTGCCAGGATAGGCTCCAAAGCTACACAGAGAAACCCTGTCTTGAAAAACCAAAAAAAAAAAAAAAAAATCTATGAGACTCCAGAAAATGATCTCCTCAATCAGAGAGGCTTGATCCTGTCCTGTGGATGTTAGACTCCAGGGCAAGCACTTAATCAGTTAGGGACTTTTTCTAGTGGGAGCCTGTCCCTTGTTTATCCATGTCATTATTTATTTAAGAATTTCAAATTTGCTTCCTAATAAAAAAGTAAAATCTACCCCCAGGTTTGAAATGTATGTTTAATAAATGCACATATACATGTCCTTAGCAGGACACATAGGCAGTTTGAAAATAGGAACTGTGTTTTTGTTTGCCTCAACAATATTCATAGCAGCTAAAACACTCCTAGACCTTTAGGTGAATCTCAATTTATACAAGATATTTTTCTTTTATTCTACATAGTGTAGCAAAAAAAGGGGGTATCCTGTTTATTATTTTTCAATAAACTCTAAAGAAACTCATTCTGCTAAATCTTCTCTATATTGACAAGTCCTAATGACTTCATTCAGAAAAATATTTTGTTACAGGAGCAAGTGTCATTCAAGGATGTGTGTGTGGATTTCACCAAGGAAGAGTGGTATTTGCTGGACCCTGCTCAGAAAGGGCTTTACAGAGATGTGACCCTGGAGAACTATAGCAACTTTGTCTCAGTAGGTAAGGGTTTTCCCTCAGTGGCTACCAGTCACATACATTTCCAAGGTTGGGAGGGAATGTTTGTGATTTCCACTTTGAGGCTTAGGAGTCTTAAAACTTGAGGGTTTGAGATGACTGATCCATTTTTGTTCTGACAATGATATATTCTCACCTCTCTGCAGAATGTTGAGCACTTTCCCTGAACCATAGCTGACTCTTTACCATTCTTTTCCTTCATTTTTTTTTCAGTTCATAAAGCTAAGCTATTGAGCGTCCACCCTGTGTTATTTTGTCTTAACAGGGTATTGTGTTACTAAGCCAGATGTGATCTTCAAGATAGAGCAAGGAGAAGATCCCTGGATACCAGAAAACGGATTTCAATGTCACCCAGGTACAGTAGTGAGTTCACTGGCAAGGGAAAGTCACCTTGTGTCACTGGGTAAGGTAGGTTACTGGCTTGGGGTTTCTATTGCTTCGAAGAGACACCATGACCACGGAAACTCTTATAAAGGAAAAGTTGGGGGTTGCTTACTGTTCATAGGTTTAGTCCATCATCATCATGGTGGGAAGCTTGGCGGCGTGCAGGCGGACATTGTGCTGGAGAGGTAGCTGGATTCGAAGGCAGCAAGAAGAGACAGCCAGTAGGCCTGGTTTGAGCTTCTGAAACTTCAAAGCCCACTCCCCAGTGACACACTTCCTCTAACAAGGCCATACCCCCTAATCCCTCTCAAGTAGTTCTACTCCCTAGTAACCAAACATCCAACTCTATGAACCTATGGGGGGCCATTCCTATTCAAACCACCACAGTTACCTTTGGTATATTTTTTCAGAAATTTCCTGTTTTACTCCAGACCTTTGGAAATGACCAAGAACAGCTTCCCACACCCTGTTGCCTTAATGACGCCTCCATCTGTCTCTTATTCATAAACACTTTTTCTTTTGCTTGGACATTTTGGAGCATTTAATTTTTACCTACACATCCAAAGCCAGTTGGCTTCCTCTTAGATTTTTTTTCTTGGTTAATTTCTCTGTCTTTACAAATTATGCACCTTCTCTCTATTTTCTTTGGACACATTTCATTAGCTAGCATATACCCATGTACTTCATGTATTCCACTTAACAGATGAACAATGGTGAACATTTACTGTGCTACAGTCATGTTCTAGGTAATTAAAAGAGTAATATACCAGATGTTATAGAATATATACTACAGTGAAGAGCAAAATCATGTAGATACAATTGTTTATTTTCATATATACTTGAGTACATACGTATTTGTATACACAGTGTCCGTTGATGGTAAGTATGATAAAGTGAGCTCATACAGGGCAAAGGAGACTAAAGCATGATGATGCTTGCTATTTGGCAGAGGTCAGAGAAAACTTAAATGAGGCCTGTGTTATATATAAATACTTTAAGGGAGTAAGAATAAACTGCGTGGACCAAAAGCATTCTAGACAGAGAGAACTTGTTTGAACAGTAGTGGAGGGCCCTTTGTGGCTGGGAAGTAAGGTATATGGGCAAGGCTAGTGGAATGATGTTGTGAGTAGTATCCCCTTGGTTCATGGAAGATGCAGTAATTTTATCTTGAGGGATGTAAGAAACCCTGCTTTGAGTTAATGTAGATTAGACTGAATCATCAGACTTATTTTCAGCTTCTAAGGATTGTCTGGCTTGTGCAGTAGTTTTGTTCAGTGAGTGGACATGAGCTAGGAAGGGGCACCAGCTAAGAAACTCCTATGTATTCCAGAAGAAAGGGTAGTAGCCAAGACCATCTCAGAGGCGCTGAGAAGTGCTGGATTTGTACAGATATCTTGAAGATAGAGCCACAAAGATAGCTGTTGGATGAAGAGTACAAGAGGAGTCAAACATGACTTGAATTCTTTATCTCAAGCAACTAGACAAGTTAGGAAGCCACTTGCTGAAACAGAAAACACAGAACAAACACGATTGGGAAGGGATCATTACAAATTCAGTTTTAAATGGGAAAAGTTGGAGGTAACTGTTCAAATCTGGTCTGTGAGTTCACTTTAAGGTTGGAGTTATCCAAGAATGGAATGCCTAGCTGAGGCTGGAACTAAATGAATCTATTTTTTCCTTTTTTAAAAAAAGATTTATTTATGTATTTTATGAATATACATGCTCTATCTGCATGTACAACTTTATGCCAGCAGAGGGCGCCAGATCTCATAACGGATGGTTGTGAGCCACCGTGTGATTGCTGGGAATTGAACTCAGGACCTTTGAAAAAAGAAGCTGGTGCTCTTAGCTTAGATGTTATCTATTTGAAGGCATCAATTTTAGATGGTATTGTGCATGTTGTTTTTCATCACTTTTCAACTAAAAGCATTTTATTGAAAGCTGTGTAGGTTCTAGGAGAACCAGGGCTGAAGTGAACTTAGCTGGGGGAGGAACATGGCTGGTGATGAGCAGTTACGTGTCTGCTATGGAGCTAGCACTGCAGAGAGCTTGTTTTTCATCCCTCCATGGACATATTTTTAATGGGTGTGTTGAATGTTGATTTAAACATTTAATGTGAGTCCATTGACAAAAGTTTTATTCATTTGCTTATTTTGCTTTGAATTATTTTTGCTAGGACTATAACTTTGTTGGTCTTTAGGACAGTAGACTGACACTACAGGTTTTTAAAAATTAAGCATAGGATTAACATTCTTGCATTGAGTACCAACAGTTAAGGATAGCCAAGGTTTTTATGATTAAGTGTACTGAAAGTTTCAGTAACAGATACAGATGGTTAGGGGTCCGGCATGTAAATAAAACACAGGTGACGCTAGATGTTACATGGAAATGAAAACCTAGAGGCTCAAACACCCAGTATAGAAAACTAATGAGGGTTTCAGAGTAACCGGGATGTGAACAGGTAGAGTATGAGGCAGAATATAAGATGCGCTTGGTATAGACCGGGTTTGGACCTTTTCTAGTAGCATTTCAGAAAACTATTCCTGCAAATAAAGGTAAAGAAAAGAACCTCTAGGCCTGGACTTGCATACTGTCGTTTCACCTGAAGAAGCGGGTGTTTCCAGAACTCTAATGTGTGTATCATGTACAGGAAAGCATGTCGTCTGATGGGGACCCCCTCCAGGGCTGTGTGTGAGGCATGAGGCTCGCTGTGTTGTGTTCCCACCCGGTGCAGTTCACCCTCTAAAACCTCTTGGCTGTTGATCTTTGCTGCCACTGTGCTGGTTTTCATTGTTTGTTGGACTCACCTTACCATTTTGAATATTGTGACTTCTCAATTAGCCTCTTCAGTTTCCTAAGAATTTTATTTTTCCCCATCATTTTGTGTCTACTTTTGAAGTTTATAATGTTTTAAATATTATAACCAGTTCCCCATTCCTGCTTCTACAGCTGCATACTTTTTTTTCTCCTCAAACCAGGAGGCTAAAGGGAATATGTTGGATTCAGTTTGTACCAGGAAACTGAATCTAAAACCAAAGCATTAACCACAGAGTGGAGAATTTCTGTAAAAGTTCCCACATGCGTTAGAAATGTTTTAAGGTGTTTTAGCTTCCCAAGTCCCTCCTCCGCTCTGGGGAGGGCCTTTTTCTCTGTGTTTCCTCATCCCTTGTAAAAAACTTTCTTAAAAGGAAGACAAGTATTGAGATTCATAGGGTGTGGTGATCTGTTTTTCTCATTTGTAGAAAGGAAATGGAAAGCGGATGACCTGTTGGAGAGCAGCCAGGAAAACCAAGATGAACATTTTTGGCAATTCATGCTCACCAACAAGATCATACATGTAGAGGGTGGCGGTAGCACAAGAAAAACTTCCAGTCTAGAAATGGACCCCGTTTCAAGAAGTTTGCTGCTCAAAATATGTGACTCGTGTGACATGAATTTAAAGAATATTTCAGGTGTAATTATTAGTAAAAAGAACTGTTCCAGAAAGAAGCTTAATGAGTTTAATATAGGTGAGAAACCACTCCCTAATAGTCGACATGAGAAAATTCCTATAGGAGCAAAATCATGTAAATATAATGAGAAAAGGGGTGGCCTCAGCCTTTGCCAGGATCTCACTCAGCCAATTTCTTATCAGCCCTTGGAGTATAATGAAAACGGACAAGGCATCCACGAGGAAGTGGCTCTTTGTCCGAATCAGTACTCTGAGCTCAGGGAGATGCTCTATAAACATACTGGCTGTGGAAGAACTTTCGTTGACACTATGAAGCTCAGTGTGTCTCAGAAAACTCATTTGCATATGGAGCCACATGAATGCAGTATTTGTAGAAAGTCCCTTTATGTGGATTTACAGTTTGGACATCAGAGAGCTCTTCCAGGAAACAGTCCTTATGAGCGTAGTGAATATGAGAAAATCTTCTGTGATGGTTCAGCTTTCATTGTTCATCAGGAAGCTTACACAAGAAAGATTGCCCAAGAATATAAAGCGAGTAGCAAAACTTGGGGAAAGTCAGCTCTCTTTAAACACCAGATAGTACAGATGGCAGGGAAACCCTATGAATACCATGAAAATGGGAAAATTTTCAGCAAGAAATCACATCCCACCCAGTCTCGAAGAGCTCACTTGGGAGAGAAAACCTTTGAATGTGGTGAGTGTGGTAAAATGTTTTGGGAGAAATCAAACCTCACCCAGCACCAGAGAACACACACAGGAGAGAAACCCTATGAATGTAGCGAGTGTGGGAAAGCCTTTTGCCAGAAACCACACCTTACCAACCACCAACGAACACACACAGGAGAAAAACCCTATGAATGCAAGCAGTGCGGAAAAACGTTCTGTGTCAAATCCAACCTTACCGAACATCAGAGAACACACACGGGGGAGAAACCCTATGAATGTAATGCGTGTAGGAAATCCTTCTGCCACAGGTCAGCCCTCACTGTCCACCAGAGAACACACACAGGGGAGAAACCGTTTATATGCGGTGAGTGTGGGAAGTCATTTTGTGTGAAGTCAAACCTGATTGTGCATCAGCGAACTCACACAGGGGAGAAACCCTACAAGTGTAACGAATGTGGGAAAACCTTCTGTGAGAAATCAGCTCTTACTAAACACCAGAGGACTCACACTGGGGAGAAGCCCTACGAGTGTAATGTGTGTGGGAAGACCTTCAGTCAGCGGTCAGTGCTCACCAAACACCAGAGAATTCACGCAAGGATGAAGGCCCTTGCAGCATCCTGAATGTTCTTCACCTTTCTTATGCCTGCCAAGTTGGTTGTACAGTTTTAAAAATGAGCTTAGAGACTGCCAAAGAATACCACAGAGTACTAGAAAATGCCATTTTGTTGAAATACATGAAAGCTTTCAAGAAAATAAAAACCTTGATTAAGAAAGATTGTATTGAAGGGAAATCATTCATATAAACAATATGGTTTTTTTAAAAAGCCTATAGAGTTTAAATTGTGTAATGTCTTCCAAATGTGTTTCAAAATTTTATTTTAAATAGAATGGATAACATTAATTTTTCTTGTATTCATAAGGGCGAGTGACAATAGCATTAAACATATGTGTAAAGGACATGTGACATTTTAAGACCTTGTGTGAGTATAAATGTAATATTTATGTCATTTAGGAAGTGTTTGATTTATGTATTGGAACCCAATAAGGATGTGAGGAAAAAAATATGAACTAGTGTAATAACTGTTATGGTATACTTTCCATACTAAGTACCACCAGTGTCATTGTAGGCTGATAAGATTATGTATGTTTATGAGCATATGTGTGAATGTGGGCCTGTATGTGTGTATATGTAAATATATTTATATGCATGAACCTATATTTCATGTGGAAATTCTTGCCTCACGTTGGGCTCCACATGTGGACCAAATTTCTGTCCCACCTGGTCCTGTTTCCATTTAGTCCCTAATAAACACACAAAGGCATATATTAGTTATAAAATCTTTGGCCAATGGGTTAGGCTTCTTTTTTTTTTTTTTTTTTTTTTTTTGTGTTTTTGAAAGTGGTTTTTCTTTGCTGCCTGGAACTCACTCAGTAGACCAGGCTGGCCTGGAACTCACAGAGATCTGCCTGCCTCTGCCTCCCAAGTGCTGGGATTAAAGGCATGTGCCACCAATGCCTGGCTTGGCTTAGGCTTCTTAATGGCTAGCTCTCTCTTAATTATTAGCCCATTTCTATTAATCTCTGTATTTCCATGTGGTCTTGGTTTACCAGAGAATGCCCAAGTCTCTTGCTTCCTTGCAGCTACCTGGCGTCTCTCCCTTGACTCACTCCCTGCATTCCTCTTCCCAGCCTTCTAGTCTGGAAGCCTAGCCTATACTTCCTGACTGGCTACATCCTGCCTGTCCATTGGCCAAAACAGCTTTATTCATCAACCAGTAAGAGAAGCATATATTCACAGCTTACAGAAGGACATCCCCCATCACCTATACTCAAATGGTGATGTCATAAAAAGGCAGCTCACACCAACTTCAAAGTGCTGATAATTGTAAAATTTCAGGAACTTTGTGAATCAATTGTTTACAGTTACATGAAGTTACAATTAAATTGTATTGAGAGCAAAGGAAATAAATAGCACTCATCATTCCTATCATTTTGCTGTCTTTCACTGTTAGCCGTTGCTGCGTACCATTGGTCTACATACTGAGAGTGCTGTAGGATGGAGTACTGTTGTATATCTCTTCCAGACTCCACCACATGCCATCCTTACTCTCATGTTGGTAGCAGCCTGGTCTTAGAGGATTTACACGGTGGAACTGACAGTCCATGCGTCTTTCTCAGAGAAGCTATGTGTATATGAACCACATGGCAGATAGATTTAAAGTATAAACCACCATCTTTCTTTCTATTCCTAAAACAAACAAATGGCTATATCCATCATTACAAACTGCCTCTATAGTAAAGAAGCCAAAAGATGTTTAGAGCCTTTTAATTTCCTCAGAATTATCCAGTTCTAAACACTACAGGTAATTCTCTTGACAGTTGGCCAGTACATGTTTTACATGAGATTACTTCACACACACACAAAACATTATCACATACTTTTCACTGTTTCAGACTGTGAATAAGTATGGCCATTATTACCAAACTACCCATTTGGTGAAGAAACCAAACTATATTTCTGAGGGTTTTTTTTTAGCTACCTCTGTGTCAATCATATAAATGCTGTTAATAAAAAAATGGTATTTACATGACTTAACATGAGTTGTAAATGGAAATACTGCACTCTGAAAATTAAATATGGTAGTGTATAATAAAATGTTCATTTTATACCCTTGGTATTTCATTGTGTATCTATTTAGGCATGGTTGCATGTAACCATAGTTCTGTGTCTTTCTGTAACTATATACCTGCATAGTGTCTCTACCTCCTTGTTCTATTCCCAATACCTCCTGGAAACACACTGATTATTAGTTTAAAAGATGCTGGTCACCTTTGCTGAGTTAAGTTTTATCTTTCTTCTCTTCCCCAGATTGTTTGGGGAATGAGTCCAGATTTGTCAAAGTAAATCATGGCAACTCCATTCTGACAATTTTGTTGAAGTTAGAGAATGCTATGTAATACTGGGATAGATCTTAGTTGTGAAGTTGTCATAACAAGAGACAACATAGAGACATGAAAAGAGATCATAACTTTTGGGATTTGTGTTGCAGGAATTTTGTCATCAGTCTGTTAGCCAATGATAAGGAGTGGCTTGGCCCTTTCAGTAGAGGGTATGTGACCCAAATACCCCAGTAAAAGGGCGAGGTGAAGGACGTTCTCTTGGGTGTAGGCAAGCTGACAGTGAGCCACAGGAGCATGTGTGGCTGGCGGATTAGTTCTCATCCCCTTTTGGAATGAACAGCAGAGGAAACAGTGACGGTGTATGAGTCGGCTACACTGGACTCGTAGCGGCAGCAGCTTCGTTCTGTAAGTGTGGTACTTGATTCTGATTTGTCTGTTAATAAACCAAATGTGACCCCATTTGGCTTCCTTCATTAGATGCAATTATTGACACCTGTATATGATGCTGACATATAGTCTGTGGGCCGGAAGGGCAATGACCCGAAGATGACAGTGCACACAGTACAAAAAGCTGACTCAGGTATGATGTCACTGAGCTGTTTAGCCCTCTATGCTACCTTCTTATGGGACTTTGTTACTTGCTGATTATTAGGGCATCCCAGCTAATAACAGATCACTTTTCCAAGTGCTGGCATTTCATACAGTGGTTTGTGGGGAAAATTCCTTTTTAATAGTTTGATGTAGGGATGGATGCTTTTTCAAGCTACAGTTCTTTCTGGTGGAAAACAGAATGCCTCAAATAAAAAGGTTTTAATGGTAGACTAACACAAGTAATGTGGTCAGGAACAAGGGATGTGGAAACACACAGACTAGTGCCTACAGGGAGCCATTTTCATTCTGACAAAGATGTAAATTAGGTTAGCATATCCCAGTTCAAGCTGATATCATTGGGAAGAAACTGTCACTACCAAAATTACAGCACCAAATTTTAAGCACCTTATTTTGAAGGATCTAACCAAGTGCAACTGCAGGGGAGCCCAGAGAAGGTGGAGGGAGAGTCTAGGTAGCAAAAACGTAGAATAAGCAGCTTAGTGGTTTTCGTTTCTGTAAATTCCTAAGCTTAGTACTGGGAATAAACTTACTGTACTAACTGAAAGAATTATTTTCTCTTGTGTTGTGCTTTCATATGAATAAAGTTAAAAATGAATAAATTCCTTTGGAAAATTGAGTTCTATAGCAGGTATGCCTGTCTTTTGACACATCCGAAGCATATATTTATGTTAAAGTTCATTATTTACAATATCTCTTCGATTGTTATAGGCTGTGTAAGCAAGTCCCTTTCCCCTATAAATCGGTGATATATCTCTGCACTTTTTAACTAATTCACCCTTTTTCTTTTGGGTTAGCTATCGCATCGTCGTCATGTTCTCAGACATAATGTGTTGTTGCTATTGCTTTTTTATGTTCAATGCAACTTTTCAACATCTTTGTCCTTGTTTGCTTTCTATTGCTGTGATAAAATACTATGACAAGAAGCATTTTGGGTAGGAAAGGGTTTGTTTGACTCAAAGTCCAATTACTTGGACAAGGGAAGTCAGATCAGGAAGTTGAGGCAGGAACTAAAGCAGAGGCCATAGAGGAGGGATGCTGATTACTGGCTTGCTCTCCATGGCTTTCTCAGCATGCTTTCTTATATACCCCTGGGCCGTATAACTAGGCTTGGCATCACTCACAGTGGGCTGGACCCTCCCACATCAATCATTAACCAAGAAAATGCCCCACAGACTTCCCTATCGTTTGATGGAGGCATTTTCTCAGTTGAAGTTCTCTCTTCCCAGATTACTCTAGCTTTTATCAAGTTGTCCAACCCTCCAAATAATTAGCACATTAGTTATAGATTCTGTCGGAATTTAAGAAAAGCAGAGTGAGAAAGATGCCATGCCACAGAGGTCAAGTGGATGGGTTTTATTGGGGGGGATCATAAAAAGGGGAAAGGGGATGGGAGAAACTGGCCTCCAGGAACAGGAGCAGTGGGAGAGTGGAAAAAGAGGCAGAGAGAGAGAAACAGAGAGGGAAAGAGAGCAGGATGGGATGTGGTCAGGACCCTTCTAAAGGAGAACATAGTGAACATGCCCAGGTGTTTCTGTTAGTGGCTGCAGCTGAGGGCTCATCATGTTAGAACCCCAAGGGTAGGCTAGTACAGATGCCTGAACACTAACAGATTCTATCCCTGTGATCACAGAGTAGGCCTTTCTCACAACTGGAAGCATTAGAGTGATCGTTTATTCCAAAGTAACCCAGTTAGAACATAGAAGCCTTGGAGTGGTCTCAGTGGATCAGACAGTTTATGGTGTTTCTTCCACGAGTTGTGTCAAGAAAATGCTTTTGTACTTCGGTCTACTCAAAGTCAGCTCTCCACACATGCAATATAAAACCAAAGGACATGTTGATTTCAAATGTTAAAGAAAAATTAAAATAGGAAGAGTTATGAGAAGGATGTTTTGATCTTGGGAAAAAGAAATGAACCTCATTGAAAAGGCTTCATTGAAGGATGAGGAAAAGTGGGTAACCTTAACCCATTAGTAGTAAGTGATTTCAGAACCCCCACTTTCTCCAATAGGCAGAATATCTGGATAAAATATAAACATAGAAACATCAGAACTAAATGGCGTTATGTGTCAAATGGACTTAACAGACATCTACAGAATATTCCTCCCAAATACCAAATAATATGTATTCCACTGAGAAGCCCATGGAAGCCTCTTTAAAATGGACAACATTATGAAATACAAAACAAAGGTTAGCAAATTCAGAAAATTTGAAGTAACTTCATGCATCCTCTATGTCCATAATGCAGTAACGCTTAAAATTTATGCGTTACAAATCTCCATGGAGATTAAACAACTCTATTGAATGGTGAATGGAGTGAAAAGGAAATTAAGAAATAAGAACAATGGAGCTGGGCATTGGTGGAGCATGCCTTTAATCCCAGCACTTGGGAGGCAGAGGCAGGCAGATCTCTGTGAGTTCGAGGCTAGCCTGGACTACAGAGTGAATGCCAATATAGGCTCCAAAGCTACACAGAGAAACCCTGTCTCGAAAAACCAAAAAAAAAAAAAAAAAAAAGAACAATGGAACTAGATGAAAGTAAGAACCAAATGCAACAAAACCTCTGGTCCCAGTTTAAAAACAGTCCTGTAAGGGAAATTTATTGCTCAAAGTGCCTATATTAATAATTCAGAAAGAGAACAAATCAAACAAGTGATTTAATGATGCACTCAAAAGATTTGAAAAACAAGAACAAACCCAAATTCAGTAGACAGCAAGACCAATAATAAAAATCAGAGCAGAGCCAGACATGGTGGTACACAACTTTAATCCCAGCACTTGGAAGGCAGAGCAGGCAGATCTCTGTGATTTTGATGAAAACTTGGTCCACATTGAGGGTTCTAAGGCCAGTCAGTGTTACA